TTCAACAAATGGTATTGGGAAAACTAGATATCCACATTCAGAAGAATGAAGCTGGACCCTTTCCTTACACTATATACAAAAATTAACTCAAAATGGATCAAAGACCTAAATATAAGACCCCAAACTATAAAACTCCTAGAGGAAAACACATGGGAAAAGCTTTATGATATTGGACTTGGCAATGATTTCCTGGATATGACACTAAAAGCACAGGCAACAAAAGCAAAAATAGACAAATGGGACATCCTTGAAAACTTTCACACATCAAGGGACACAATTAGTAGAGTGAAAAGTCAATCTATGGAATGGAAGAAAATATTTGCAAATCATATACCTGATAAGGGGATAATATCAAGAATATATAAAGAACTCCTACAATTCAACAACAACAAAAACCAAATTACATGATTTAAAAATGAGCAAAAGACTTGAATGGACATTGTCCCAAAGATGATATACAATGGCCAATAAGCATATGAAAAGATGCTCTACATTACTAATCATCAGAGAAATGCAAATCAAAACCACAATAAGTTATCACCTCATACTGCTTTCAAAAAAACAGCTATAATAAGTTCTAGTGAAGATGTAGAGAAATTGGAACCCTTGGGCACTGTTGGTAGGGTTGTAAAATAGTGTAACTGCTTTGGAAAAAGTATGGAGGTCCCTCAAAAAATGAAAAAGAGAACTACTATATGATCCAGCAATCCCACTCTGGGTATGTATCCAAAAGAACAGACAGCAGGGGCTCGAAGAGATATCTGCAGACCCATGTTCACAGCAGCACTATTCACAATAGACAAAAGGTGGAAGCAACCCAAACGTCCACTGATGGATGAACGGATAAACAAAATGTGGTATATACATACAATGAAATATTATTCAGACTTAAAAAAGGAAAGAAGCCTTGTCACATGCTATATTATGGATGAACACCGAGGATATTAAGTGAAATAAGCCAGTCACAAAAACAAATGTATGATTCCACTTATATGAGGTACTCAGAGTAGTCAAATTCATAGAAGAAGAAAGTAAAAATGGTGGTTACCAGGAGCTGGAGGGAGCAGAAAAGAGGAGTTATTTTATAATGGGTATAGAGTTTCAGATTTGCAAGATGAAAAAGCTCTGGAGATCTGTTTCACAACAATGTGAATGTACTTGACACTGCTGAACTGTACACTTAAAAATCATTAAGATGATAAATTTTATGCTATGTGTTTTTTACCACAAAAAAAAGAAAAAGACAATTGAGATAATCAGGAAAAACTGAAAACAAACTCTTTACACAGTTAACTGCACATGAATCTTGCACTCATCTGTAACGGATAAGCTACTTACCCCTCAGACAGCGGAAAGAACATTTTTATTGAGAGGTAGAAACCTGGCTTCTAGCTCCAAATCTCCTAAGTAGGTATTAGATGATATTAAAGAATTATTGTTAATTTCATTGGCTATGATAATGGCATTATAGATATGCTTTTAAAAAATGAATTCACAGTGAAGTATTTTGGGGGGAAATTATGTTTTCTAAGATTTGCCTTAATATACTCTGGCCAAAAAGGAAGAAGAAAGAGTATGGGGTAGGGGTAGATGAGAAAGAACAGCAGAATAGTCACAGTTGTTGAAGTTGGGTGATGAGTACATAGGAATTCAGTATGCTGTTGTTTCTACTTTGTGAATATTTAAAAATTTTCACAATCAGAAATTTAAAACAAAATGAGGGGGAAAAAAAAGGACAGATGGATGTTTGAAATGGATGGCAATAGGATTAATTTATTGAGTTTTATAACAATAGTATCACATTAAACAGGCTATTGTTAATTTTAAAAAAGCATTATATTTCAACTTGAATTAACTCATCAAAAAAAAAAGGAAACTAACACGAAACTGAAAGGATTTTCAAGCTTCAAGTAAATGTTTCTCACTACCTCCTCCAGCCACAAACAAAGAAAACAAAGAAGGTAAATGAGTGAAAAACAGGACCAGAGATACCAAGAGTGCTGTGGAGAGCGGCCCACCAGAGCCATATCTGGACAGTAATGGAGAAATTTCTGCTGGGAAAATTTCCATCACATCATAGAACTCAAACTAAGCATGAGAGTTGCTGACTATTCCTTGGATACATAAGATGGGCCTGTTTTGTTTCTGTTGATAGAGAAGAATCAATCAAGCAAGGATGAAGGGTACACCAAACTGCAAAATGAGGGCACTCAAGTGAAAGAAAAGAGACAAAGATGCAAGATAAAAAATAGGACTGATGGAAGCTAATTTCAAAGAGCTCAGAGCACTGATGAGAAGGATCCAAAATTAAGAAACCAGTGACATAACTGGTGTAGCATGCGAGTCAAACACTACCAGCTGCACCGAAGGGTAGACGACAAATAGCATCAACTAGTGTAGTTTCAGGAAGTCCAAACCAAAGAGAACTGAAAAGCCTACAACAATGATCCAAAACATGGGGTCAGTTCACAAGAAAGCGAGAGGGTTTGGAAGAGCAACCTTCCTGAGGCCATGAGGGGTGATGAGCTTGGAGTGGTGCCATGGAGAAGGGAGTGAGGGACTCGGGAGCCGGGCCGCTGCCCCGAGCCAGGCACTTTACCTCTCCTATCATCCTATCATCTGCAAAGTGTGTTAACAGAAAGGCTCTCCAGGGTCCCGTCCTCTGTTCTGCATAAGTTTTTCTCCAAACTTATTCCTGGCTGTAAGGACAACTAAACATGAAGGGGGACAAATAAGGAAACCACTGAAACTTTGACTCAAAAGACACATTTTAAACTTGACTGGAAGGCCTGCTGTCAATATCTTGGCTGCCCGGAAACAAGAAGGGTGGTCTCCAGGGTCCCCCAGGGTTCCATTATACACCAGGAGGACAAGGAGGAAATGAAGCTCCCTCTGGCCAGGCAGAGTGTGCACAGGAGGCATTAACACAGCAGAGGAAAGTGAATCCCCAGCAGTCGCTGCTTTGACAAATCTCTGGGCCCCAGCAGTAGATGGCATGCTTTCCATCACATTCCCGAGGGTTGGTGGCTCCATAAATTCTCTGGGTACCTGTGCCCAACAGAGTTCCTTAGCAAGCTCTGGTGCAATGTTAAAAATTAACAACGTTGAGCGCTTCTTGTGTGACTGCGCCACAGGCAACTCATGCACCATGTCTCAGTACCCTCCCCAGGAAACAATCTTGAGGTAGACACAATAATTATCCTCATTTTCGGGTGAGGGAAACCAAGGCTCAGTGAGGTCAAGTCATTTACCCAATGCTGCCTGACCAGTGAGCAGCAGGGTGAGCCTCTCCTGTCAGATGGTGTCTTGTTCCCTGTTGGAGAAAGACTCTCAATCACAAAAAAGTCAATGCTGAGCCCAGGTCCTCAGTCTTCTCAGTGAGGCCTTTTCTAACAGGAGTGCTTATTGCTACCCAAGGATCAAAGGTCTCTCATCTCTGGCACAAGGGCCAGGCCAACAGGGGTGGGGTCACTCAGGACACAGTAACCTCTGCCTGTTTTCCTATAGGTCTAGCGGCCAGCAGGGATGGCCCTATGGTTCTGTGGCCAGAGCCCTAGGACAGCTCTGATGGGGTCAGGCCAGAGGGTCAGGGGTAGGAGGTGTAGGGGTGGGGTTGGAAGCTGTCCAGCAGGAAGGACAGTCCCAGCATTTCACAGCCGGGGCCCTGGGAGAGAGAAGGCTTCGAGGCCCTGCCAGAGCACAGAGCCCCGCCCCTCCCTACGCAAGCCTCAACTTCCCCCCTGAAGAGAGTGAACCTCAGTTTCTCACAAAAAATCAGACCCAAACCTAGGGTGGGGGGCTCCAGCTTCCTGACTCTTCCTCCAATGTGAAAGATATCCTACACTGAAACAAGCCGACCCCCTTCCAGGCCCTGGCCCACGTAGTCATGGGTGAACTGAAATTAGCCTGAAGCAAACCACTTTGAAAGAACATCAGGTTCTAGGCCCTTGTTTGTTCTCTTTACATTGTTAACTGTGTTGGAATCCTGTACTCACTTGTGACAGATACAGCTACCTAACAATCATATGGTGGAAAGAACACTTTCATCCAGAAGTAGAAGACCTGGCTTCCAGCCCGGAATCTCCTCCATACCTTGTCATGTTGCCAATGCCCCACGTCTCTTTGCCTCAATTTCCTCATTTCTAAATAGGGAAAAGTAGCCGTCCCTAATTACCTCACCCAGGTGTTGTATAAAAGCTGACAAGGGGGCTGGCCCCGTGGCTTAGCAGTTAAGTGCACGCGCCCCGCTACTGGCGGCCCAGGTTCGCATCCCGGGCGCACACCTTCTCCGGCTTCTCCGGCCAGAGCAACGCACTGCTTCTCCGGCCATGCTGAGGCCGCATCCCACATACAGCAACTAGAAGGATGTGCAACTACGACACACAACTATCTACTGGGGCTTTGGGGAAAAAAAAAAGGAGGAGGATTGGCAATATTGTTAGCTTAGAGCCGGTCTTCCTTAGCAAAAAGAGGAGGATTAGTATGGATGTTAGCTCAGGGCTGCTCTTCCTCACACACACACAAAAAGAGACAAGGGAGGCAAACACCCTCTGAATTCCTAAGTAGCAAGACCCATCACCATCACCTACCACGGTGCTCACCATTTCTTTCCTCCCCACCCCCAATCCTAAGGGCTAGGAGCACAGGCAGGTAAACAGCATCACTCAAGGCCCGGAACAGGATGAGCACTGCATTCCAGCGGGTTTTGCTGATGTCTCCAATAGAGGTGACTCTGACAGAACCAAGAGGAAAAAGAAAACACTCTTCTCCAGCAGCCAGGGGGCCTCCGTCTCTCCATTTCTCTGAGATTACCTAGCAACGCTGCCCCTTTCCTAGAAAGCTCTGGATCAATGATTCTGGAAACTGCCTAAATCCTAAAGAGGGTTTAAAACCACCAAGAGTTCCTTCCCTACTCTGCTTTCCAGATCTATCCCTTTTGAGCAACTCCATGTTTCGGTTCATCTGGGTGAGCTCTGCAGGAGGAGGGCTTACTCCATATCTGGAAAATAGATGTCTGTTCTTACATGTGTGACTTTAGTGGCCTCACAAATGTATTTAAAAAAGCAACTGGCCATTTACAGAGTTAACCTGCCTGAACCTGCCAGGCAGCCCCACCACAAATCACTGTTCAAGCCAGGCTTGTGACAAGCGTGTATTGGCAGGGCTGGGCAGGAGAGGCTGGAGTGGGTGAAGCAGGCAACCTGCTCTGCTTCTAAGGGACAGAGAGGGAAGGTCAAGGGCAATTAAGAGGCATATGGGGGTCAGGGCCGGGTTCAGGGAGCTCGCCGCAGGATGAGCTCCGTAATCTCTGCCCTGCTACCCAATCTCATGGGTATCCCATAATAGGCCGTGCCTGGGCTGACATATACAAATGTAGTCTGGGCCACTTGGTAGAGACCAGCAAAGAAGGGGTTCAGGAAATAGGCCGCGACGTTCAAGGGGAAGATTTGCCCAGCATGTGTGTGCCCAGAAAGGATCAAGTTAATATCTGGCCGAGCTTGAAGGGCTCTCTTGGCAGCCAGGGGCTGGTGAGCTAGCAAGATGGTGGTGTGGTCTGGGCTGCAGCCTCCCAGGGCCTTCTCGAGATCCATGCCATGGCCAGAGTAGTGCAGGCTGTCTGCTTCAATATCATCCACCCCAGCCAAGCAGATCCAGTCGCCATCCTCACCACCACCACGCTGGGCCCGTGTGCCAGAAATCTTCACGTTCTCATTGTGAAGGGGCTTGACATCCAGGGATTCCAGCAGCGCAAACCAGTTGCTGACATCTGACGTGTAGTACTCGTGATTGCCTGTGACGAAGTAGGTGCCGAGGCGCGAATGAAGCTGGCCCAAAGGAGCGACAGCCATCCGGAGGGTCGAGGCTTCTGAATCACAGAGGTCACCCACGATCACCGTGACATCTGGTTCCAGCACGTTCACCATCCTCACGAACATCTCCATCTTGGTCCTGCCCACTGTGGGGCCCAAGTGAATGTCTGAGAGGAGTGCTATCTTGAGGTTGTCCATAGAGGGGGGCAGCTGATGGATGGGCACCTCCACGGTTTTCACCGCCGGGGGCTGGGCAGCGTTCAGAAGCCCGACTACGCTGAGCACAGCAGTCACCACCACTGCCAGGGCCGGCCTGAGGGCCAGCTTCCTTGTCTTGTCAAGGCTACCCACGACCCGACCACTGCGCCAGGCCAGGAACTGAAAGGCCTGCTCCATGCCGCTGAGGGTACACAGGAAGAAGAGCATGATGATGTACGCCCCGAGGCAGGAGTAGGCTGCCAAGGAAAAGAGATAGGGCTCCTCGGCCACTAAAAAGAGCATGGTGAAGAAACTGGAATGGGCCAGGGCCAGAAATGTCACAACAGCCATCTTCCAAAGCTTAAAACAGACCGACTCTGTGGCTGGGGAATGGCTCAGGTTGCTGACCGTGCTACGCCAGATGTAGAGGGAGCCTATAAGCATGAGCGAGTTGGCAAACAGGGCAAGCTGCAGGCGGAACAGACAACGCCAGGCCCCGAGCTCAAGGCTCCCAGCCAAATAAGAGCGGGAGACAATGATGGACACGAGGACAGTGCCAGCAGCCAGGGCGGCCTTCATGCCCAAGGACAGCTGCCTGAAGATCGCCATTTTCTCTGCTCCTAAGAGGGTCCCCTGCCAGTTCTGTGCGGGCAGGCTCTGGAAGGCGAGTTCCTTAGAAAGGACAGTGGCCAAGCAGGTTTCCAGGTCAGCTCCGCCTGCAACCAGGAACCGGTGTCAGCTTTGCAGGGGTATTAGAACTTCCTTGTCCCCATTCAAAACCTGAAGGTCACTTACACCAGCCCAACCTACCTTGAATCCAAGCCACTCAAATACCAGCCAGTTGCTACATTTTATTATTAAAATACAAACACACTGGATTGTAACATGATGGGCAGTTTTCATTTTCTTACTGACAGTTTTTTGAATGTTTAAATGTTTTCCACAATGTGTATGTACTTCTTTTATAGTAAGAAAAACATTATTCTAAATCAGTGGTTCTCAAAGTAGGGTCTGGGGAGACCCTTTCAGGGGGTCCTTTTAATCAAAACTATTTTCATAATAATACTAAGCCATAATACTGCCTTTTCCATTCTGATTCTCTCGTGAGTGTACAGTGGAGTTTTCCACAAGCTGTGTGACATGTGATATGGCAAGACTGAATGCAGAAGTAGCTATGAGAATCTGTCATCTGTTAAGACAGACATGAAAGAGATTTGCAAAAATGTAAAATAATGCCACTCTTTGCCCTAAAATTTGGGGAGAAATATTGTTATTTTTCAAAAAAACGTATTAAGTTTATTAACATGCAAAAGATTTATTATTTCTTAAACTAATAAATATTTTTAAATTTTCTGTTTTAATTTCTAGGACAGTTAAAATTTGAGAACCGCTGTTCTAAATAAATGTCAACAGGCAATCACGGGAAGTTAGTCTGCTGGTATCTTTCTTCAGCTCTAGGCCCAGGAGGGACACCTAGACATGTGACATATGAATTCTTGGAGTGGAGCCAGCCTCCCTGTGTGGGCCTTGGGCACAGCAGTCATAGGGCACACCCCTGCTGAATGATGCTGCACAACCATTACCCAGGGGACGACCCTGCCCACCAGCTCCTCATCCATAAATCCTTCTCTCCCCTCCCACAACCCTCCTAGATATTGGTTAAGATCTGCCTTCTCCCCATCCATCTTTCTCTGCCACTGTACCTTTGAACTATTCCCCAATTCCACCCTCACCAGTTCTCATAGTTGGCTAGCTCTCACCGTGGGGCTCCTCTAAGCCTCCCAGAAAAAAAACTGGGGCAGTGGAACCACAGAATAGGCAGCAGGGGTTAGCAAATACTCAATTTGAGGTGACCTCTTCCCAGGAAGAATCCAAAATGAAAATATTTTTACTAGCTGTTTTCCAAATACTCGAGATTTTCAACCTTGATTTTAGATAGATATATGACTTTGCTCTTGGCACCTTATTGAAAGCCTTTTATCAAAGGGTGTAATTTACAAGTCAAGGGGCCCAAATTCCACCATCTTCTATTTAAAACATGCCCCAGACTCACCCAAACTCTGGAGGAACCAAAGTTGGTTCGCTGAACGTGCAGAGGGGCAGGTTCCTGTTTCAATTCCCCCCGACACAGACATCCGCCTTACGCAGCTGTGATGCTCAACCTTCCCAGGCAGCAAGTCAGAGACCCCTCGGGCCCCTGCCTCAGCTCGGACCGCAGGGCGGAAGCTGTCCGTCTCGGGCCAAATGTGCACGCCCCCAAACCTCACCTACACTCCCCGCCAGACCTCCCTCCAGCAAGGCTGGCTGCCACCTGCAGCCTGCCTCTTGCCCACCCTCGGCCTAGACCGCCAAACCCTGAAGATTTGGAAAATCCAAGCCAAAATAGGCGGCGGGGAGTGACGAGAAAAGGACGAGACGTTTGAAAAGAGACTACTTCGAAGGAAATTCATTCCATGTTCCCATTGCGGGGGGCCACTCCTGACCCCATTTTTCTCCTTCCGGAGCACTCTCCCGAACAAAAACTGAGCAAGGGAGGGCGCCCCAAGCCAGAGCCCGAGGCACCCGCCAACAACGCGCGCTACTTGGAATACCCCTCGCGGACAACTGCAAAGCTGGGAAGGTTTGGGCGCACCTCATCTCACCCCCTCGTTGCACCGATGGAGAAGTGGGTCCAAGCGAAAGGAGCGACCGGGACAGAATACACGACCTACAGAGCTACCGGGAAGGACGCGCGCCCCGCCCGGCCCGCCCCCGACAGGAGGGCCGGTCCACTGCCTGCGCTCTGCCAGCTGCCTGCCGGGGCGCAGTCCGGGGTCCTAGGCCCCCTGCCCTTCAGGACCCCGGTTGGCCGCAGCCCCAGCCCGGTCCTCCGCCAACCTGTCTCCCATCAATGCATCCCCGCGCGGGGGTCCCGTGGACTTACGCGCAAGCCGCGCGCAGAGCCCAGCAGCAGGGGCACCAGCAGCAGAGAGAGGAAGCGAACGACCCGCAGCATGTCCACTCTCCGGCCTCTCGGCTCCGCAGTCGGCGCCCGGGCCAGCCGCTCGGCGTCACTTGACTGAGGACCCGCGGCCTGGCACCGCCCCTCGCCGGCCCTGCGGCGGACCCCGGCGCCTGCTCCGCCCCGCGCTCCGCCCAGCGACAGCGGAGCCTGGGGCGGAGGAGGCGGGGCGGGGGGGAACCTGGAGGCCACGGGCGGCCGCGTGACTCCAGGATAGTGTTATCGAGCTTGTGCTGGCCTTTGCCGCAGGGAGGGACCGTTTGGAAAGACTATCAGGAGGCCCGGCTGTCAGCAGCTTGATAAGGGGCCCGCGGGTTGGACTTTAATAAGGATCTCCTTGCTCCATGGCTCCCTTGCGAGGACAAGAAGGGGGAAATTGAGACCAGATAAAACTAAGTGGACGAGATAGAATCCTAGCCCTGCGTACGAGGCTCTCCGGAAAACTCTAAACCAGGGGTCCGCAAAGTGTGGTCCCTGGACCCACCGTGTACCTGAAACTTGTTAGAAATGCAAATTCCAGGGCCCCATCTCGGAAATTCCCAATCAGAAACTCTAGGGATGGAGTCCAGAAATCTGTATTTTTACAAACCTTCCTGGTTGTTCCGGTGCATGTTAAAGTTTGAGATCCTCTGTTCTATGTTCCTGATAAATTTAGAGGTATGGTTCAACTGTGGCCAAAATCATTCCAAACGCCAACAACCCTCAAAGCCCCAGGGTCTGCAGAATTTTTATTTCATTGTTGGATTTTGAGAGAGAAGAGCAGCAACATCTCTCATCTTTCACTTTTGCGCTTGAGCCTCTCAACATCCCTGCGATGCCTACGCAGGCAGATCTGTCAAGTGGGCGTAAAATAGTATTATCTCTTCATACACCTGGGAAAACGAAGGCTCTGCAGTGTGAGTTAACTGGTCCAGGACCACCCGTTACCACTAGATCTGAGTCTCAAGTTAGAAATCTTTTCCTGGCTGGTTCCTCTTACTCTCTGAAAATCCCCTCCCTCCCATCACTGGGTTAGTCTCAGCTTCAATCAAAACTGAGTTTCAAAGGAGTCTTTAGAGAAATCGCTTTTAAATATATATATTTAATTTTTCCTGTTTTATTGAGTTATAATTGACATACCACGAAATTCACTCGTTTTAAATATTTTCTAACTTTTATTTTGTTAACTTATATTGAAAAATAAAAATGTATGGTTAAATTATGCTGCCTGTTGATAGACTCTCTCCTTGACTAAACTTTAGTTAGGCTCCTCTTGATAACAAACCAAGTGGGCTCGCCTCCTGGTGAGTTAGGTAAGACTCTGCACCAGTGGAAGTTGTCTCACAAAATAAAGTGTATTTGCAGCAAATAGGAGGCCATGAGGAATCATTTCCAAAGTCACGGTGTCCCCGAACAAAGGGAAGGAGGAACTTTTATTGGTTGGGGAATGAATATTCAAAAGGGAGAGGGGGGTACACTGCAGATTGTGGTAATGAGGCTTAATCTCCTCTTGAAGAGATCTTCGCATTAAAAATAAGGTAAGGTCATGGGCGCAGCTCTTGTAGGGAGGCTTGGTTAGCTTCAGGGTGCCTACTGGTTGTCTCCTTAACATAACAGTTAAATGCCTCCAAACCCACCCTTGAGTTCCTTGGGGCACTAGTCGGTAACAAATTCCCCCTCTAGTTTTATCCTGCTCCTCATTCTTGAGGGGCACAGGTTGAAGGTCTGTCTTCTGTAACTGCCTCCTGCTGAGCATGGGTGTTGTCAAAGGGACCAGTAGAGGAGCAGAATTTACAGCTAATCTTCAAATAGGTTTGCAGGTCACAAGAGGCATAGCCCTGAATTGTTCATAAAAGTTAGGCCTATCCTGGGGCCGGCCCAGTTGCCAAAGCGGTTAAGTCTGTGTGCTCCGCTGCGGCGGCCCGGGGTTCGCTGGTTTGGATCCCAGGCGTGCACTGACGCACTGCTTATCAAGCCATGCTGTGGCATCGTCCCATATAAAGTGGAGGAAGATGGGTATGGATGTTAGCCCAGGGCCAGTCTTCCTCAGCAAAAGGAGGAGGATTGGCAGATGTTAGCTCAGGGCCAATCTTCCTCACAAAAAAAAAAAAAAAAGTTAGGCCTATATTGTGGAAGCATGCAATCAGGTATTTAATAAGAAGCATTTCTGGGCTGGCCCCGTGGCTTAGCGGTTAAGTGCTCACGCTCCGCTGCTGGCGGCCCGGGTTCGGATCCTGGGCGCTGGGCGCGCACCGACACACCACTTCTCTGGCTATGCTGAGGCCGCGTCCCACATACAGCAACTAGAAGGATGTGCAGCTGTGACATACAACTATCTACTGGGGCTTTGGGGGGAAAAAGATAAATAAATAAAATCTTTAAAAAAAAAAAAAAAAAGAAGCATTTCTATGGAAACAAAAGAAAAACAAGTTTAATGGTTGGAGCAAGTTATAAACCAGATTCTGAGTTCAGCGGACAGCCAGTTAGGAAGATTTTTAGATGTCAGCATTGAAGCATCTCTTGTAGCTTCCCTTTGGTTTACACAGCAACAGGCATGCTGTCGTGGTGATCTCTCAAGTTTATATCAAGTTGTACTGCTTCAGTTTGCAGGGCTTCAGGAAAAAGTGTAGGTTCAATTCTCAGTGATTCCAAATGAAAATGATGGGAAAATTGAAAACGTTAGTTCAGAGATTTGTAGCCAGATATTTCAGGAGACTAGAAGAATTCAGGATCCAGTCCAGTAAACATATAAAACAAAAACCTCAAAGACAATTAACAGAACTAGGATCTAATATCCACAAATATGTACTATAGTTTCAACTGAAATAATTATTCTCTCTAAAGTCACCTTCATTTTTATCAAAGATAGCCAAATTAAGACTAACTAGTTTGTAAAATAAGTCTAGTTTCAATAAATTTGGCCGAATTATTTACATAAGTACAGCAAGAATAGCAATTGATCACATAGGCTCTTTTAAATCTGCTTTGCTGGAACTTTTTATAAGGAATCTCAAATTGAACTTCAAAGGTCTCTCGAGACCAGGAAAGCCAAGCCAAGGATTTTGTCCTCAGACTTTGCCTGCAATACCCACAGATTTGGGTGAATTCCTCTCTTCTTGAGGTCCCCCAAAATATTGAGGTTCCTTGCACCTGCCAGCTAAGTGATATTCCTTACTTACCCAGGTAAGATTGTTCGGAACTTCTGTAAACAAAGTATCAGGCCAACATTTCCAAGAGGCTTTATTGCAGAAAGTCAACCTTTATTCCTCAAAAGCTGTCTTGTCATATCTGAGTCTGTACGTTTCTCTTAAATACGACCTTCCAGTCAAAGCCTTCATATTATAACCAATGTTTCCAATTGTGTCCTATTATAAGGAGAACAGATTCCTATTGAACTTATGCAAATAAGGTAGACTAACTCAAAGGCAAAGAAAAACTTTTTATAACCTCTTTATCAAGATCAAAAAAATTATCCTTTTAAGAGAATGAAGGCACTAGCTTACTTTTGGCGTTAAAACTCATTTACTTAATTGGATTTAGTTTAGTTTAATCTTAACCAACTTGACCATGTATAAAACTCCTCAGGGTTTTACCTTGCAAAACTTTCTGTCACTTTTTACATTCAGAATTTATCCGTGCCTTCCTTTCTTCCCTTCTGGTACTTTAGAACAAATTTATCATTCTTAACAAACCAAACAAAAAGATTTCTACTCTTCATACTTTCTTTACTAAAAACATATCTTACTTTCCTTGAATACAAACATATTTTCCTTAATTTTTAGTAGCTTTTTTTGTGTGTGTGAGGAAGATCAGCACTGAGCTAACATCTGTCACCAATCCTCCTCTTTTTGCTGAGGAAGACTGGCCCTGGGCTAAATCCATGCCCATCTTCCTCCACTTTATATGGGATGCCACCACAGCATGGCTTGACAAGCGGTGCGTTGGTGTGTGCCCGGGATCCGAACCCACGAACCCCGGGCCGCCACAGCAGAGCGTGCACACTTAACCACTACGCCACCAGGGCAGCCCTAATTTTTAGTAGCTTTGATCACATATTAGAATTTTAACCCTTAGAAACCTTAATTTTTAGTAAAAACTAAGTAAGCAATTATAAACTTTCTTTCTCATTAGCCTTCCGTGGCCTGACAAACCTACAAATACTTTTAATGATTTCTGGAAACATGTTGCTTTATAGTGTAATCTTTTTTTTTTTTTTTTTAAAGATTTTATTTATTTATTTTTTCCCCCCAAAGCCCCAGTAGATAGCTGTGTGTCATAGCTGCACATCCTTCTAGTTGCTGTATGTGGGACGCGGCCTCAGCGTGGCCGGAGAAGCAGCGCGTCGGTGCGAGCCCGGGATCCGAACCCGGGTCACCAGCAGTGGAGCGCGCTCACTTAACCACCAAGCCACGGGGCCGGCCCTATAGTGTAATCTTAATAAAACACAAGACACGTATACCAATAGACTCAAAACACCTTTTAGTTTTTCTGTAATAAGCCAAAGTAGATAGACTTATATTTAGTAATTAATATCTAATATCTTATCTTATTTGAAAATGATCTAAATATACACTGAATTTTTATCCTTAACCTAGCAAAACTTCAAAGTTTCAAGTTACCAAAGAGATTTTGGAAGTTAAGGACACAAACTATAATTATTGTGAAAAGTTTATCTATAAATTCTAAATCACTTACAGCTAAATCAAACTTCACGGACATTGGACAAAATTAGCTTTCATTTTAAGCTATCTTTGCTGACAAATTTGTAGCAGGGATAACATGCGCGTATCTCACTAGTAAACGCAGGCTGCACGTCTGCATCATATCCAACACTGATGACTCTGAGGACGTGTCCATTTTAATCACACCAATAAACTTAAGCTTTCATTCACCAAAGATTATTTCATATCACATTAACTTGAAAGACATTTGGGTTACTTTCTATGACATTTAGAATTTATGTAAGCACTTACTTTAGGCCAATTTCAATAGAGCTCTTGATGTTGGACATACCATCCAG